GGATCGGGTTTGAAATGGCCGACTGGCGGCCATTTTGTTTTAAAGAATTCAGTTCTGGATCCGTATCTGAGACATGCCTGGATTGATCGATTTCAAACTTCACACACACAAGGTACATCATGTCACAAATATGTATGTGCATTTGTTTCATGATCTCATTAACGATAGCCAAATGGCGGCCGCTTTAAGGCCGAAAATGCATTGAAATCGCACATTTTCACCATTCCGGACCCGGATCTCAGTTATGCATGGATGGATTTTGTTCAAATTTGGTAAAAAAAAAAATGTACATACATTAAACATAATAGGACCTTGATGCACGTCATATTTTTTTTTGGATCGGGTTTGAAATGGCCAACTGGCGGCCATTTTGTTTTAAAGAATTCAGTTCTGGATCCGTATCTGAGACATGCCTGGATTGATCGAGTTCAAACTTCACACACACAAGGTACATCATGTCACAAATATGTATGTGCATTTGTTTCATGATCTCATTAACGATAGCCAAATGGCGGCTGCTTTAAGGCCGAAAATGCATTGAAATCGCACATTTTCACAATTCCGGACCAGGATCTCAGTTATGCATGGATGGATTTTGTTCAAATTTGGTACATACATTAAACATAATAGGACCTTGATACACGTCATTTTTTTTTTCCCGGATAAAGAATTCAGTTCTGGATCCGTATCCGAGACATGTCTGGATTGATCAAGTTCAATGTTCACACACACATGGTACATTGTACATCATGTCACAAATAGATATGTGCATTTGTTTCATGATCCGCTTAACAATAGCTGAATGATGGCCATTTTAAGGCCGAAAATGCATCAAAATCACGTATTTTCACAATTCCGGAACCGGATCTCAGTCTTGCATGGATGGATTTTGTTCAGATTTAGTACAATGTGTTGTGCATATACAGGTGCATTTCGGTCATGATCTGCTTTGAATGTATATGTCACTCAAATATGAAAGGAACGGGGACGTGTCATTGACAATGACTTGTTCTATAAGTGATTTTGTGATTGATACAGTACATGTAGTATTAATTAAGAAACACAGCTAGTGTTTTTCTTGTTGTCATGTAGTATTAATTAAGAAACACAGCTAGTGTTTTTCTTGTTGTCATGCTGTATTAATTAAGAAACACAGCTAGTGTTTTTCTTGTTGTCATGTAGTATTAATTAAGAAACACAGCTAGTGTTTTTCTTGTTGTCATGCTGTATTAATTAAGAAACACAGCTAGTGTTTTTCTTGTTGTCATGTAGTATTAATTAAGAAACACAGCTAGTGTTTTTCTTGTTGTCATGTAGTATTAATTAAGAAACACAGCTAGTGTTTTTCTTGTTGTCATGTAGTATTAATTAAGAAACACAGCTAGTGTTTTTCTTGTTGTCATGCTGTATTATTTTTTATGCAATTCATTTTATATTGTGCAGTACGTTTTGGTGAAATATTATTTAAGGAACATGAATATTTTTACTAATTATTATTATTAATTAATCATAATAACCTTATTCAAATCTAAATTTTAACCAGTACTTTTCTTGCAAAATTTTTAAATATATTATTGCAGTGTTTCAGGACTGTTTTACTCACTTTTGCCTTGCAAAGAAGAGATAATGTATTGTTAGAATCCAACCATCAGTTTGTTATTTAGTCTAGATACTCAATGGACAAGGTTGTATTAGTTATGCTATGTTTATTCACAGGGAGAAGAATCATTAATGTCATTTGAAGGAAGTCAAGTACGTGGTTCTACAAGCATTGTTGAAAAATTAGTTGTAAGTATATGGGCTTTAGTTCAAACATTCAACTTAGTAACCAATACTCGCATTTGATTTGGATTTTATCTTAGAGAAATTCTGAATCTATGATACAATGTAAATTGTAATTTCACATGTGTGTTGCAACTCAGCACTCATTCCCATTGCTAGTACAGCATGTTCTGAATTGATCCATTGATGATAGTCATCATTATATAATGTTCATTTCAGACACTGCCTTTTCAGAATATTTCACATCAGTTAACAACAGTAGATTGTCAGCCAACACTAGATGGCACTGGAATCGTTGTATTTGTGGTTGGCCAACTCAAGGTTAGTCATGTGCATCCTAATTTTTAGTTCCAGTCTGTCTGTCTGTCTGTCTGTCTGTCTGTCTGTCCATCAGGCATCATTTCTCGGGTCAAATGCACATGCCTGTCTAATGTGTCACAAAAAGGAGAGTGCTTTTGTGGTAAATAAGATTCTTCTCTTGAACTGCAACATTTGAATATAATAAATTTGTAGCGATGTTTAGTGTGCAGCATTAATATTCATTGTTATATTCATGAGCAACTAGTGCTCCAATTGGACTGAAGAGATCCCTGACAGTGCGTCTCAGTCCCATGCTCAGGCAGTCAAAGACAAGGTTGACTCGGAGCAACTAGTGCTCCAATTGGACTGAAGAGATCCCTGACAGTGTGTCTCAGTCCCATGCTCAGGCAGTCAAAGACAAGGTTGACTCGGAGCAACTAGTGCTCCAATTGGACTGAAGAGATCCCTGACAGTGTGTCTCAGTCCCATGCTCAGGCAGTCAAAGACAAGGTTGACTCGGAGCAACTAGTGCTCCAATTGGACTGAAGAGATCCCTGACAGTGTGTCTCAGTCCCATGCTCAGGCAGTCAAAGACAAGGTTGACTCGGAGCAACTAGTGCTCCAATTGGACTGAAGAGATCCCTGACAGTGTGTCTCAGTCCCATGCTCAGGCAGTCAAAGACAAGGTTGACTCGGAGCAACTAGTGCTCCAATTGGACTGAAGAGATCCCTGACAGTGTGTCTCAGTCCCATGCTCAGGCAGTCAAAGACAAGGTTGACTCGGAGCAACTAGTGCTCCAATTGGACTGAAGAGATCCCTGACAGTGTGTCTCAGTCCCATGCTCAGGCAGTCAAAGACAAGGTTGACTCGGAGCAACTAGTGCTCCAATTGGACTGAAGAGATCCCTGACAGTGTGTCTCAGTCCCATGCTCAGGCAGTCAAAGACAAGGTTGACTCGGAGCAACTTTTTCTCGGTCTGACTCAATTTTGATGTATAATATTCCCTACATACTGTAAAAATTCGATTAATTCGCGGTCTCTATTAGTTCGCGCACCCATTTTATTTTTGAACGCTAATTTTTAAATGTATCCTTTTAATTCGCGGCATTCAAAAACATGTTTAAAATTGTATCCTATTAATTCGCGGGCCAGAATAAAGTGGATAACTCAGAATATATTGCATGAAGACATTAAAAATATACATATAATGTTATGTTATCAGTATTTGGTGTCGCCGCAATCGCAGATGATCTCCGTCATCACCGCCTTTCAGTTAGCAAGCAGTTTAGGTTCGGTAAAGATTTGACGTGAAAAAAATCATTCCCCCACGACACTACAGATGTTGGGCAAGATTATTACTTAGTCGATAAATATCCATCGGTCAGCACATCGATTACGAATTTCTGTGATGGAAAGCTTAGTACATGGCTTTTTCGTCGCTGGTCCACAGGGTTGCATCCCGGGGTTGCATCGACCATGTGTCTGCCATTATTCTATTACGTCATTTAAGTGAATCGCCCTATGGAGCGTAAATTGACATTTTTGATTGGTCGGGCGATTGACCTCGTGTCACATTTCATTATACCGGATTCAGTAAAAAAACACAGAGTTAAGCGGCCATGTA